CTAACTTACTCCGTACCACCGAAACGTAAAAGTTAACGGTAGGGTTACGTTTCGTTATTCCTTCGTCACTGTACTCTCATCCCCCTCCCTACGGACGTGTACCGTACTCTCTCTCTCTCTCTCTCGATTGCAAGGGACCTAGTGAGAATGGAACTTCAGACAATCATGTTAAGGCACCCTCCACACAACCACCTCTTCTTAGAGCCTGTACTCAACTCTCTCTCTATCTATCTCTCTCTCAACCATCGGAGTTTCTTGTTTCTTTGCATAAGTTAAATATTCAAGGGAGTGTTCCAATCAGGACCTTCCATATTAGCCTTCATCTTGCGTCAACTAAAGTGAAACATGTAATTATACACATCGAAAAATGTTCTCATTTTAATGCTGGATTCTAACATGTTCAATGTGGAACTGCTCAGTGAACATGTTGATATTTAACATTAAACGAGAACATAGATGTCATAGGCATGCACACAGTAGATATTTCTGCTGCTTAATTTCAATAGAGAGTTCCCTCAGTTTTAACTTCAAGTCCACAACAGTATTCATTTATTTGAAATTTTGAACAAAAACGGTGCATCGTTATTTTTAACTTGACTTGTTATATTAGAACTATGTATGAAGTAATTCTAGATTGTATTTTAGTTAAAAGTTGGAGGACTCTCTAAATTTTTTTATTTGAAATTTTGAACAAAAAAGGTACATCGTTATTTTTAACTTGACTTGTTATATTAGAACTATGTATGAAGTAATTCTAGATTGTATTTTAGCTAAAAGTTGGAAGACTCTGTAAATTTTTTCCTTTTGTTCTATCATAGTGTAATACCTTCAGAAAGGTTGTTGGAGAGCATCTATAAAGAGAATACTATGAACTTTGAACTTTCCAAAGATTGAGGTTTGTTGGTATTCTAATCAAATATATTTTACCCCTTGGATAAATATTTCAGGAACAACAATGAACTACTTCTTAGACGACCGCATCAATAGAGCTGAGATCCTTTTCCCAGGAGTTGGGTGTTTTGTTATCGCTGTTTGTCTTGGATCAGCTGTCCACTCATCCAATAAAGCTGATATTGAAGCAAAGCTTAGTATTATGGATAAAGAAAAGACAAGGTGGTTTCATTTATTTCTTGACGTTACAATATGGTTTCCTCTTATAGTTGAATTTTCCTTATTAAATATAATGAAACTAATCTATCTTTATGTATGTACACATTCCTGCAAGTGAACATGGGTGTCATTGTAATTGAGTTCCATATATCCGTCTTCTTGTTAGGTCCATTCTGAAAAATTAACCTTTCAAACTATAAACTGAAGTGTGTTACCTGTAGTTAACTTCACATGGGAATAGAATCCTTTTTGATCTGGGCAATCTGAAACAATATTGGTGAATTAGTACTCATATGTTGATTTCTATATGCATCAATAAGTACAACAAAGAAGGGACCAATTCACTAATTTTAGAGTCTAAATAATGAGTGTTTTTGCCTTCCATGCAGTTAAATGCCTTTTCCTTTGTTTTTTCTTTTGAGATGCATTTGGTCTTCCTATTTAGGTTGAATTGCTTTATGTATTCTCGGTTTTCCTTCCTTCTATTTTCAAAAGAAAAAAAGAAAAGAAGTAAAAGAAAATGTTTGAAGTTATGAACACATGTTAGAACATTTGGAAACAAAATGCCAAAGTTAGTGGAAACTTTACAGGTTTGAGAATGTCATTTCTGTTGGGTGAGTATGGCCATTAAAGGCCTTATGAGTGCTTGTAAAATGAAATGATATAGTGGAGCATGAACTCAGTGGGCGTGTGGTCCCTTGTGGACCATACTAAGCAAACGATGTTTGCTGATACTAGACTATGTTGACGTGCTAGGTCAGTCTGGTTGGGAAAAACTTATGTTACCCGGGCATAGAAAACTATCTGATAAGGGTTCTAATATGTAATCCCTTGATGAGGTCGGAATATACCTGGATGAGTGAGCCGAGGGACTGTGTGACCCTTGTGTGTGATGGTGGCCTTCAGAGACGAGGGTCAAAGCCTCATCCATGTAACATCACACGACATGCATAATGATAGCCGTTTCGGGAAAGTGTTTTAGGGTGAAGCTTATACATGTGCGAGAGATACCCCTATGCGCCATAGGAGTTGTGGTCGCATCAGGTCTAGGTGACATTGGCATGTCTTTAAAGGAGAACCTAAAATCGGCAAATTGTAGTTACAACCCCTTGGCTCATCGGTCAGATTTTGGTGACCCACTAATGAGTCCCTGTATGGATTGTGGGTCATGAGAAACTTTGGGTCAGTTGATAAAGCAAGGGTGGACTGTAGTCCACGGTTGAAGGTGGAGTGCCAAACAAAATGTTTATTCTTATACCATATGAATCCTTCTCCCATCTAATGAATTTAATTGTGTTTATTTTATGATAATATGATTTTAGAATTATTTTTTGAATTTTTCTAGATATCTGGATATTTTATTTATAAAATTTGGATTTATAAAAATGGAGATATTGATTTTTAATGTTTTAAATATTCAAATTAATTCTAAAATATTTTATTAATTTTTAGAAAATATTTGAAAAATATTGGGGGCCCATTGTGCACATGGGCCCACTTGCCCTAAGTTGGTAAGGCTCACGTAGCCGCCTTTTGGGTGGTACGCCCACTTATAGGAGTCGTTTCTATTTTATAGGGGTTGAAGTTGATAAGAGTAATAAACTTGGCTTGGAGGCCAAGTTATTATGAGATTTGGAAAGGTGATTTATCTTGAGAAAGATTTGAATGAATATTTTAAAAAGCATGATAAGGCTTGTGCATATTTTTGGATAAAGCACAACGTTATGATTAGTATTATTTTATTTGATTTATATTGATGGGATAATGGTCAAGGAAAAGAGGGGGATAAAGGTTCTAGCACCTTCCATGATGTTGATGGCCCATTTATGGAGGGCTCAAGTCTCAAAAGTCACCCAAGATCATTGATTCATATTCAATCTCACAAGAACAGACAAGTCAAGGAAAACCCTAAGAAACCCTAATCTTGTTCAAGCACTATAAAAAGGGGATTGATTCCTACCAAAATCTCTACACCTTATCTCATACACTAAACTTTCTATCTCTCTCTCTCATCCATCTAGGGGGTACGCTCCACTCTAGAAAGTCTCTCTTTCTCATCTTGAAATATCTTTCTCTCAAGAAAGCCTAAAGGGGCATGCCCCACAGTCTCCACCTCTTGGATCTCTCTCTCACATTGTGAAAAGGGGCTAAGGGTTCAGGCTATGGAGTTTTTCTCTCTCCCATCTCTCAACTATGGATTTATGGCTAAGGGTTTTAGAGTGTAGCAAAAAGAATCCATCTCTCTCAATCTAGGTTGCTAAGGGAATTCACTTAGGTAAGTTTGTGATCAAAGGGGTTTATGTTCCATTGATGTGGCTTGTCCAAACTTTCTTTCTCGATTGAGATTGAAGGTTGATCGTTGATCCCGCATCATTGGATAGTGGTGACTCGGTGTGGGGGGTAATAAGCTCAGTTGAGGTAATCTCCGTCGCTCTCTTTTTGTTTTTTGCCATATTTAACTATATTGTCTTTATACTCGCAAGCATAAGAATTGTGGATATTTTCTTTGTTTAAAGAAAATTGGTTTAGGGGCATCAAGGTTTTTAAGATCTTGGATTTGTTAGTTTTATTTTCTTTGAAGCAAGAGTTATTATAACAAGACTACTTGTAAGTGATCTTTGCCAAAAGAAAAGAAAAAGAAAGGAAAAGGGGTGAAAAGAAAAAAAAATATATATATATATCCCCTAGCAAGATCACATTAGTCTTTTTTTCAATTTGATGGATATGGCAGCCTTGACAATCAATAGTGGCATTTATTAGAATGAGGTTGGGCTCCTCGGTCTTCACCAAAAAGCCAGGTAGCCATTTAAGTGGCCATTAATTTTTATTTCTCTTCCTTTTTTTTTTACCTCTTTCTTCTTCTTTGAGGCATTGATTGGAAAATGGACCACCACTTTTCATTCATTGAGCAATTTCCAATGTATCTAAACTTTTAGCCCAACTTCAATGTCTCTAACCCCAACCTTTCTCTTTCTTTTTCTCGTGAAATTCCGTTAATGCTAGAATTGGTGCACAAACTTCAAACTACATATTGCTAGTACAATTTAGCAATGACAACAAAATAAACTCCTGGAAATTTCAGAATGAAATATGAGTGAAATAATCAACTGATCATGCTTTGATGGTATTAAAAAATCGAAATGTCTAGTTGCTAATTGATATTTTTGTTGGGAGCAGACATGCGTATAGAAAAGTATAGCATACACAATTTAGTAAGAAGAAAAAGGGTAGACTGTACAACTGGTGCAGGATATGTGATGGTGCATCCATCTTGCCATTCCCTATGATGTATGTGGAGATTAATCATTCCTGGGTGAACTTCTGTCATCGAGAATGGTCGATAATCACCGTCGTCCATCTTTTGAAAGGGATAGTGGATGTCAAAGGTGGTGTATGTTACACTAGACCTACGCCATAATCTTGATTTGGTCTGCTCATTAATTTTGCCCATCTTCTTTAAAGAGAATTAAGAACCAAATATTTCTGAATCCATTTTAGAAAGAGTCTGACATTTGTAAGCTTCCTTCAAGTATGATGTCTGTTAATTGCACCTCCTCAGCAAAGGATTATGATAGTCTAGTTCAAAAACATAAGATCACACTGATGGATTATTAATTACCAAATTATCATAGTTTGATTCTTCCAATCCTACAATCATCTGAAACATGAAAAAGAGTTCTCGTTGCTTTTATTCATGTAATCAATTCTTTAACCTGGTTATATCCTTGAATTAGAAAATGAATTTAAATATTCTATTCCCTTTTGTTTTGTTTTCACTATCCTTCAAAAATCACCCATGCCTTTGTTGCGAGTAACCATCCATTTAAAATGGCACATCAATTTCATGTTTGGCAGGATTGCAAATTCAGAAACCACAAAAGATCTTCAAAGCACAGGTATATTCTATGGAGATGTCACTTAATGTTACTCTTGAATTTTATGGCTTTTGAAGGTTTAAAATATATATTATGTAGTGTTTACTCTTGTGGATGTAGCTCTTGATTTGGAGAACGAAAAAAATGAGGCGGTAATCCCTTTTTCTGAAAATAAAGCAAAGGCAGGAACTGCAGAGTTTTTCATGGCACTTGAGAAGAGAAGGTCAATCAAGGTTTGATTTGTGCATGTTCCACTTAATGTGAGGAAATGATAACTTTTGAAGCATATTATCCAGGCAAAACCTTTTCTTTAACATTAGAACACTAATGTGTAACAAGCTTTAGAACTAGATAAAACTCCATAGACATGTCTTATTGAGAACAACTACTACAATGATCATCTTATTCTTTGGAAATGAGCAATTCATATAAAGGAAATAGTCTCCCAACCCCAAACATATTTGTTAATTTAACCACATCCTCTCTATTATATACTGCTTTGTGCCATTCATGTATGTGTGTATGAATGTAAATAATTTACATGTAAATGCATATGGATCTCATATCATGTATGGATGTATATAATATACATATATATGCATGTGTATGACTGGTATAGATAAAACCTTTTCTGGTCTTTTAACAGGTAGTGGGTACCAGCACCATGTTTGGGATGTGTATTGTCTTTATGGCAGGCATTTGTTTCTCGCTCTTTTCTCCTGCTGTCAATTTGGCTACAAATGACCAATGGCACACATTGAAAACCGGGGTCCCTCATTTGGTTGTATACACTGCATTTTTCTACTTTTCCATCTCTTGTTTCGTTCTTGCGATCATTCTAAATGTCACATTCCTATATTGGCCCATTCTTGGACTACCAAAGTCATCTCTCACTGCTTATGCAAAGGATTGGAAGGGAAGACAATGGGCTCTTTTAGCAGGATTTTTGTGTGGTTTTGGAAATGGTTTTCAATTCATGGGTGGCCAAGCAGCTGGATATGCAGCTGCTGATGCAGTTCAGGTTTGTCCTTTGATATCCTTTCTATGGAACCTTTTTAAATAAATTATAACTCTATGAGTATGGAAACTTTATGGTTGAAAGTGTCTATTCCCTTCGGTTCAATGGATGGATGGTTATTATGGAAGTAAGTGAGATCTGTCCACCATATTTTGGTGGGTCCTACTCTATGTCGATCACCATTAATTGATTGATGGGGATAACACTTATGATGCTGTCATGTGGATCATAGTATTTTTATATCACACAGAGACACAGAGATATGTGTGTGTGTGTATCTGCATGCAGGCTGGCAGGCAGATGTGTGTCTGTGCATGTACGCGTGTGTATGTGTATGATTGCATGTACATACATGTATATATAAAGACTCACATGTATTTATGTATTGATTATGGTTACAACACCAAACTTCTTAGAAATGCACTTATTTCTCATACACCCAGGCATAGATATAGGGGAAAGGGCAACATGTTGAGATAATTGATTGTTTATATATGACTTACACGCATATGCATATTCATGTATGTGTACATTATGTGCAAACCACGTGCATAGCCCCTCTCACACACACACACACTCTCTCATCTGGAAGAGATATCGGAGGAAAGACGACATGTTGAGATGATTGTGAGATGTGTGTTGATGATACTTCAAGAGATTTCTTTATGCTTTATTGAAAGTGAAAACTTTTTATGGGTGCAGGCACTTCCCCTGGTAAGCACCTTTTGGGGAATATTATTTTTTGGGGAGTTCAGGAAATCATCAAGGAGGACTTATATCTTGCTTGTAGCCATGTTGTTCATGTTTGCCGCAGCAGTGGGTGTGCTCATGGCCTCATCTGGTCACAGGAAGACATAAGTGCTACAATCATGATAAACTTTATATTTTCAAATAAATGGAAATATTGGTGTGTTCGGGGGATATGTAGTCCTTGACGGCATAACAGGGAAAGCTGGACTGTTCAGTTGTTTCAAGATTGATTTAAAAAATCCACACAAGGAAGAGAAATGTAAATATCATGCAAAATTAGTCACAGTAATTGGCAATTGACTTATAGATGGTTTATCCTCAAATTGGTAAATTTGCCATGCCTGAAGTCATAGTCAAATGTTATTAGTATCCAGGAAAATTATATTCGTCATTGACTTATAAGAATTCTTTTTAATGCTAATCTGGAATTACTCAATTGAGTCCCTGGTTAATAGTATGAAATGTGAAGGATAAAATGGGTCTTGAGAATCAACTAGAGAAGACAATTGAAGATAATCAACTGGTAAAAATACTTGATTATAAGAATCAACTAGTGAATACAATTGAAGATAATCAACTGGTAAAAATACTTGAATATAATCATACTGCAAAACAACAATAGTGTACTAGACATTTCCCTTTGATAAGAAACAACATATTTATTCATGATAATATGTATTGTACAATCAGGTAGAATATAACACTTGTACTTGGAGTGGAATGCCCTAAAATAACTCATTTTTGTAGGCCACATCTATAGCAACAAAGTCAGCAATTCAATTTGTATCTCTAGGAGCCTAAAAAAAAACAGAGTAAAACCATCAATCCTCCATGGCTTAGTACCTGATGCCTCACGCATATTACTCCTTCAAATGAATATGGGAATGATGAAAAGATCCTCCACCTAATATAAGTGTTTTTTTTACTTTGGCCTCAGTAGCTTCATGGTGCCTAAAATCCCTAAATATGCAGGTCCTCAACAGTAAGCCTTCACTGTCTCTAGTGACAAGTATACTTCCCAGTGGGCCCTGTTCTGTGAAAGAGCTCAGGTCAAAATTTAACATAATTGAATCCCCTTCAGTGGCATTTAGCTTTAGGTTTGGTCTTCATTGTTTGATCCATTGTTAGAAAAACCGGGCGGTCTATCCGCTAACCACCCGGTTAGATCGGAACCGGCCACTGGTCAGTTCCGGTTTTGGACGGTTTTGGTGATCGACCGGTATTTTAAAAAAACATTCACAAGAATATATATAAATTCTTAAAAATAAGGAATTTGGTTTGTAATACAATTTTTAATATTCTTTACATTATGGTAAAGATTAAAAATTGTTTTTGTCAATAATACTCACTTTAATTCAAAAATCAATTCGTTAAAATCTATTTTTTTCATTAATTTTTAACTTCATTTGAATGTATTTTATTTTAATCATTCTTTATATGTTTTTCATATTTTATTAGATTTTTTTTTTTTAATCTTTTTTATCTTTTCAACACTGTTTTGACCCCCTGGAACTTAGAATGGTTGAATCAGCCGATTTACTTGTTAGGCCGGTTAAACCGCTTCTGGTCCCATGTCCGGTTAACCCTTCCGGTTCACTTTTGCGAACATTGGCTAGATCACAGGGCCTGACCTCCTGTCCAAACCAAATTGATACTACTACTCATGAAGTTATGACCCTTTGTCTTAGTAAGTGCTAGGGAAATGATGGGGCTCTCTTTTCTTTGTTAAAATTCTTCATGCATTGACATATTCATCTCTTTAGTTGGCTCTGAGCTGTGCTAACATGAACTTTGATGGGTTTTAATGGCAATCCTTGTAAAACTATGTCAATGACTGTTCAGATTTTTTTTTGGCTATGAAGGTTACCATGATGGCTCATTGGTTGAAGCCGTATGATGAATTCATGTTACATTTCTGCAAAATTGAATGAGGCTTAAGGAGGGGAATGATATTCAGAGTTTCAGTGAGAAGCTGCTATCCTTAAACAAAGAAAATTAAAGCTAAAAAAAATAGTTAATAGTCGTCTAGTAGATATAACAAGTTATCACTGCAAACCTGGAGATTTTGTTACTACAAGGGTGAAAGAAAGATCTAGAGCTCTGATTCAAAATCATATGGATTCATCCTCCAACGAGGAGTTGCCAAAACATTGAATATTTACTCGTTGCAGTACAAAGGATTAATAAATTAAATAATAGATAGGAAATGGATTGGTTTGAAAATCAAGGAACTGTCAGTCGTAGAATATTATTCTTATCAGACTTAAACCTAATATTAAGAAATAAGAAAACTTTGGACAATTTTGCCACTTTCTTTTTTTGATGGAAAAAAAAAAAAGATCTATCTAAGGGTAAGGGTTCTGATCCAGATTTTTCTTCTATTCACCTATAACATAAGACACAATAGGATCACTCATTCCTTGTCCACTCTTTCCCTTTGTTTCCATTCTTTTCCATACCACAGCCAAGCCGTAGTAAAAGTAAGGAATAGAAAATTTCTATATTTATAAAGGAAAGGTATTACTTGTTGGAATACTGCTATTGATTGGCATTTGATACATGGCCATCGGTTGCGTTGGTAAATTAGGTGAAGATACGGAAAGAGAGGGATTCGAAATCTCGGTAAACAAAAGCTTACATAGCAGTTCCAATGCTACGCCTTGAATCATACGAATTCTTATGATTATGGCCCAGGAACCAAGTGAATTGTGAGTCACTCTTGCAGTACAAGTCCGACCAATCTATTATTATTAGTAGAATTAGAATATTCTAATTTTACTAATAAATTAGAATATTCTAATTGTTAGAAAATAAATTTTTTTGTCAAGAAGGGATAAAAAAACATTTTCTTTTCTGGTCCAGTTGGATCAAAAAAACTTATCGAGCTATCACAGAAAATGATTTAGATTCTTCATCTTCGATGAAATTGAAATAAAAATAATAAAATAAAAGGTCCACCCTTTTTTGTTTTGTTTTATTTGAAAATTTGTTTGTTTTTATGTCATGTCATTTTGTACTGTACAATTCCTTTGTTTGTGGGATCAGTTTCCCCGAGGGGAAATGAGAAGAATTATAAAGTAAAGTGTATTGTTAAATATGCCTAGATCTTGAATAAATGACAATTTTATCGATAAGACCTCTTCAATTGTAGGCAATATCTTATTACGAATCATTCCGACGGCTTAACCTTAGTCAAGGAATTTGCTATGCTCCTAATAGAGATAGTGCTTCCCATCAAGATCAACAGCAATTATGGTCACCTTTTTTGTAGATTGGTAATGATGAAATTGTCAAGAATGTGTGTTATGGTATTAGCAGCAATATGAGGCTTGGTTTATGTAGGAAGAGGGTCATGGTTTCTATTGAATGCCTGGTCACTCCTGGAAATATTTTTGCAAAAGTTTGTATTAAGCTTATAAGAGTGCAAGACACCTCTAATACCTGTCTGGATGCATATATAAGGTGGCCTTATGTGTGTGCCCCCTTACCTGCTACTTGGTGAATTCATGAACACCTGCAATATCCCCATACAATTGTGAGAAAGGGGCATATACATGGAAGGGACCATAAAACGCAAAAAGGTTAGTATTCCCTATATGCATTTAAGGAGAATTTTGCACTTCAATTATCCAATCTAGACTTCAGAATTATCAAATTTTGAACTAAACTTCAGATATGAAAAGTTCCATTCATTTAATTGCAGAATATGTAAATTCTAAAACATAAATTTCACATTCATATGTCTAGTCCTCTGTAAATGGCAACTTTATTCCCTCCCTCTTCCTTGTCTCTTATATGTGGAGATTTAGAACTACAAAATGCATATCAATGGCAAAACTCTGGTTCCTCACCATATGTCCCATACAACAGATTTTACAGTGAAAGTTAAACACGGTACAAGGCATAATCGCTTGTATGACTAGAAGTGGACCAACTCTGTCTTCTGTAGAGTACATCACCCAACAAGACTCCTCGGCTGATAGGTTGATATAAAGACCAGAAAAAACAGGAACAATATCATATCCCATTTGGGAGTTTGCAAATATGTTCGCACATATGGTATAAAATCTCGTAGATTAAGCAAGAGTGTAGTAAGAAGAAGGGGAATTGGTCGTCATAGTGGTCGGTGCCAACAATGCAGTGGTGTGGTGAGTCGAACTGGTTCCGTTGCTTGATGTTTTGTAAGGGCATTTGGGTGGATTCTTTAGGGGGTAGTATATGAGCATGGGCATATGGAGTGGGAGCTCAGGGAGGGAATCCTGAAAATTCAAGACCTGAATCACTTGCCTAATTGAGGGCCTCAGAGATTCATCAGGTTGTGAACACCATAGCCCCACAACCATGAGTCGTTCCATTTGTTCTTTTTCATAGTCCGAACCCAATCTTTCATCCACAGCTTCAAACAATCTCCCTGTTTGATAGAGCTCCCACACCCACTCCAGTAATCTAACACTCAAATTGTCGACTGTTAATTCCACTGGCCGCCTTCCACAGACAATCTCTAGTGCAACTGCCCCAAAGCTGAAAATGTCAGATTCTTTGCTAGCCCTCCCAGTGATGATACACTCAGGAGCCAGATACCCCATAGTCCCTGCAATCACTGTTGTTTGGGAGGCATGACCATGTTCCACAAACCTAGCCAGCCCAAAGTCCCCCAGTTTAGCATTGAAGTTAGAATCCAACATAACGTTGCTCGATTTGATGTCTCTATGGACTGCGCATTGCTCCCACTCTTCATGAAGGTATAGTAAAGCCGAAGCCAAGTCAGAAGCTATCTTATACCTTAGGTCCCATGTCAGTCCAATGCAAGCTCCAAAAAGATGGGAGTCAAGACTTTTGTTGGGCATGAACTCATAAACAAGAAGTAGATCACCTCGATTGTGGCACCACCCGAGAAGCTGAACAAGATTCCTATGCCTTAAACGGCTAATGGTAGTCACTTCGGAAACATACTACTTAGTTCCTTGTTTAGATCCTTTAGAGATCCTCTTGACTGCCACCACATCATTGGTGTCACGAAGAACACCCTTGTACACCCCTCCAAATCCTCCCTCTCCAAGCTTTCCATCCTCACTAAAGTTGTCGGTCGAAGTCATGAGCTCCTTATAAGAAAATCTCCTAGGCCCAGTACCCCTCAAAAAGTTCTCATCTATGCTTGTATCAGAACCTAAATCCTCCCTCCCCTTGCCCTTACACCTCCTCCACCATTTACCCAATGCAACTCCAATGCCAAACACGACAAGTCCTATACAAACAGTTACTGCAATTGAAATGATAAGCCCACTATAGATATCACTGTAACTCTGATACTGTCCAGTGTAATTCCATGACAAAATATTGTGTGATGCAGTTAAGTGAGCAGTGGAAGCCGAGAACCCCATGAGTACCTTTTGTGGGAGGACCTGACTAAAATCCACGCCAAAAGAAAGATCGAAGGATCCAACAGACACAGGAACCCCTACAAGTTTGAGAAGGACTTGCAAATTTTCTTGGAAACCACTGAGTTCACATCGATGCCAATATGGTTTCCCCCCTTAGGATCCCACGGATCTTCAGATACATCAAACTCCACAGCAACTACTTGATTCGACGACTTGTTATTTGTGGTCTCATTGAAGAGGCCAAGCCACCCTCCAGAAGAATTGGCCGGCATTTCCGATCCCATTGGGGCCAAGAAGAAGGTAAGGCCACCGCTAGTGAGATTCCCACTAGATGATGTAATGGTGAACTCAAACTCTGTGCTAAAGCTATTGATGCTTGTATTCCGGGTATACCACACAAAACAAGGGTAATTAAAGAAGGCTCGACCCCTGCTATTCCCGAAGGAAGTGAGTAGAATTTTGTCCTTGGTAACCTTAGCATCTCCTTGGACTCCAATCTGAGGAGGTGCGTCATCATCAGTGGGAAAGATTGTGTTAGTGTAGTCGGCCTCCAAAGAGGTGGCGAAGGAAATGAGGAGGAAGAAAATGGTTAAGAGCATTAGACCTGCTCTACATTTGCAGGATGTCATGGCTAATGGCAAAGGCCAAAAGAGAGGTAAAAAGAGTGGCAACTTTGCTAAGGGAGAGGAGACTGCATGTGTTTAAATTGGAAGTGGTATTGAGAAAAAGTCTTCACAATAATATGGAACAATTTGTGAAGAAAAGAGGAGTGGATGAGGGATGGGTGGCCTTAGTGTGATATAAGCTCACTTTCTTGCATGCAGAAAAAGAGAGGAAGAAGAGGTTCAAAGATAGCAGCCCCCTGACCCACTTCCCAAGACTAACAAGGCGGTTCTCACCAAAGCTCAGTTATTTCCAACTGTTTGTAGTAGAATTGTCGGTTCTGAGCTGGATCACCCGATTCGGGCATCCTGATTGACTTCATAAAAAAGTCTTTGATACAAGGTTTCAAAACTGGGTTTGGGCTCGGGCTCGGACTCAGGCTCAAGACTAGGCCCTTCCCCAAGATACTTGGCAGGTCCTGGTAGACTCTCCCGAGTTTGCCCTAGCCAAAAAGGGCCAAAAAATAAAAAATAAAAGTCTTGAAATTATTTATTTCAATGAACTTATCGACGTGACATTATGACCTCTCTCAAGTATGTGCATCTGCTTTCTATTTCAACATACCTCACTAGTTTTTATTTTTGAGAAAATTACCGTAAGTATTTGTTCTATTTTTCTGTAACTATCAAAATACCTAATGCTTTACATATATCTGTTTTGTGGACTTCATAATAATTTAAATAAAAACAAAAAAACAAAACTATTCATTTTCGGTTTTTCAAAAACTTAAATCATGTCAATTTCGGTTTTTGAAAAATTAAAATTTTAAATTTTAAATTTTTGATATTTCAATAACCAAAATTTTAAAATTTTCTGTTTTCTAAGCACCTAAAATTTTTGTCTCTCTGGCAGGTCCTATGCGTATTCTCTCTGCCTCTCTCTCTTCCACCGAGAAACCGGTCTACGTGATTTCATTCTTTTCACTGTTCCTCTTGGTGTTCTTAAAAAAGGTTCAATCTAATTTGAGCATGAGCTCGAAGAAGGAGGCAATTCAAAAATTGGGTTTTGGGTTACTGAACAAAGTGGCTATGCTATTCCCCTATTGCTTTTGGGGTACAGAGATTGATACATTTGGGCATTTATTCTGTAGATAAAAGGGGGCGAGTTCTTTTGTTCTATAGCTATGCATCTGTATCAGGAGGTCCATTGCTAATGGCTTTAGCAATCCATGGCTCCTTCCGATTCGGTAGAGAGAGTGATTGACATACCCAAAGGGTATCAATGATCCCAATCCAATTCAAACTGTGTACAAGTTGGGGTAGTGATCGATTCACTTATGGGTAGCAGTTGGGGCATCCGGTGACGATTATGATATTCTTGCTGAGAGTGTGGGGCCAAGGTAGGGTCCTCTTTGCAGGAGAGTCAACAAATAGGAGGTACCTGGTAACCATGGATGGGGGTTTAGTGGTAGGGAGAGAGGTAGGGACAAAATACGGACCCACAAGAAATAATGGGCGGTAACCGCCCATGAAGCTTATCTGACTGGTAGAGAGAGAGAGAGGTAGGGACAAAATAGGAAAGAAAAAAATTTTGTTGTTGGAAAACTAAAAAATTTAAATTTTTTGGTTTTTTAAAATCGAAAATTGACGTCATTTCAGTTTTTGACAAATAAAAATAGGCAATTCTGTTTTTTTTTTTTTAAATTGTTATGAAGTCTAAAAAATAGACATATTAGTAATAATGGAAAGCATTCGGTATTTTGATAATAACATAAACTAAAACATATATTTACTTAATTTTTCTTCTTTTTTTAATCTAAAATTTGGGAACCATGTAGAAATTAGAGAAAATTACACAACCCCCTAAAATTAGATTTTTTAGATAACTTTCCCCAACCAAGTTTTTTTTAACAACTTTTATCTCAAATTTAACTTTTCTAGCAAATACCCTCAAGTCAAAAAGGCACATTTATCTTTTAATGAAAATACACATACCCATACATCCAGACATTGATGTGAAAATCATGCAGTCTGACATAAAATAACGGCATTTTTGACACTTTGGGTTGTTGGAAAGCGTACGTCTGGCAAAAAATAGGGGCGGTTCGGCACTTTGGGCTTCTGAAAAGCTTGCATTCCGGCACAAAATAGGGTGGTCCGGCACTTTGGGCTTCTGGAAACCATTCGGTTTGGCACAAAATAGGAGCGGTCCGACACTTTGGGCTTTTAGAAAGCATGCGGTCCAGCACAAAATGGGGGCGGTCCAGCACTTTGGCTCGGGATTGTTAGGGGTCTGGCCGTTGTTGCATTTGGTCCGACAGTTTGGTAGGGTCCAGCAGTTTGGTACTGAAAGAGCCCATATCAATGTTTGGCTGTATGATATGAACATTTCATTAAATATATATATATATATATATATATATGACTTTTTGACTTGTAAGTATTTGCTAAAAAAGTTAAATTTGGGGTAAAAATTGTTAAAAAGAACTTGTGTAGGAGGAGATTGTCTAAAAAGCCTCCTTTTCGATGGGCTTCCCTAGAAATTACTAGATAGTTATTTTTAAAAGAAAATATTTGAATTTCCAAGTTATATATTACTTATATCTAGCCCTTCAAAAACTTGGATGGTGAGGCATAAGTTTTTTCTAATATATATTATTTTGAATTTTTTTTTTTTGCTAAGATTATTCTATGGGTTGTAGATGACATCCTCAAAATTTGACATCCAAAAAATATACATAGCATGTGTTTTGCCTGAGGGATTAAATGAATAATATACTCGCACGGGAGTAGAAAATCTTTCGGCTTGCTTTAATTTATTATAAATGAAAAAAAAGAAGAAAGAGTTGATCTCTTTTTATCGGAAGTCTTGTGATGTTGAGGTCGTGGTGGTAGCACCACTTGAACTTCAGCTACCGGTCTAGGTTTTTATTTGACACATTCGAAAACCGTTAATTACTTTAAAAAAATGGCCTTAAAAAAAATAAAAAGTCTCAGAATTTAGTGGTTATTGTATCATCTTGCTTCTTGGTTTTGCATGGGCAGTGAGGTACTCGTGATCAATAAGAGCTTCAAACAATAAATTTTTTGTCCATTTTTGGCCGATTTACATAAATGGCATTTAGTACTTTTTTTAGTATTTTTAGATTGAAGATATCAGTTAGTAAAATCTTTCTATACAAGTTCATGTATTTCCCCCCATCCGGCCGTCTCATCTAAATGGATGGGCTGAGATGGCACCAATCGAAAGGTCACGCTTATACATCGTTTTATTTTTAATTTTTTTATAAATCATTTTGACACCGTTCACTCCTCTTTTGAAATCGCACCTGCAAAAAATATATAAAAAAAAATTTCATGATAAAATAAAATGACTAAAATACCCCTAAAAATTTTAGGAGTAATTTGGTTATTTTATTTTTTAAAAATAAATTTTTGATATTTTTTTAGGTGCATTACATTGAGACGATGGCACATACCAAATTTCATAGTCATATGATTTGTAAAAAATATTGAAATAGAATACTCTAATACATCACATCTAAATCAAACACACAATAATTGACTTGTGACATTTTAAGGCATGTGCTCAACCGCTCATTTAAATTGGACAATTCGATGGGGAAAAAAATATGTAACTTATACAAGATAGGGGAAGTATAGAAAGTTTATTCCTTTAAATTAATATATTTTTAAAGGTTGCAGTTGGCATACGGATGCATCCGTAGGTGTAGAG